TGGCAAATACGCCTTGAGTAAAGTTGACACACTGAGGAGCAGCACTGGGGAACTCATCGGGGAGCAGGTGGTGCTTGAATGCAGAAGGCTTCTGTGGCCGTGCATAGGCAGCCATCGGAAGTTACTAACCACAGGAGAGAGGGCAACTAGCTCAGTTCTCATTTAGTTTCCTTTTTTTGTGAATGTTTGTGGGGTGCTGGGGATTGAGCCCAAGCACTGCACCCTTCAGCCGTTCCTCCGGCCCTGTCTCATTTAATGAAATAGTCAAGTCTGTGAATTTTTCTAATTGCTTTTAAACACACATGGAAAAGTCTTCAGTTTCCCTTGGCGTAAAGAGAACAGGAAGTTAAACTCTAGTGAGATATTTTCTGCTATCACTTTGGCAGAGACCCAAAGCCTGGAACACCCTGCGTCTGGGGAGGTGGAGGTCACGTTGATGATACTGCTCGGTTGACCGTGCCTGTCTTTTCAGTGTGCTGCCTCTGACCCAGCAGTTTTACTTCTAGAAAATTGTGTCGTAGATATGCTTGCTTGCATGTGAAATGAAGACTTTTTCCCCAAAGCTTAGTTGCTTGTTGCAAGAGCCAAGGCAAAAGCTAAGGCCACAGGAGACCAAGTTCATGCATGCAAAGGAATAACAGAACATGCTTTGCAAAGAATGAAGAAACTTCATGTGTAATTTAAGATTTGTTAAGAGGAAAAAAAGGCCAAGGTGTATAATATTATGTGAAGTATGCTTCCATTTTATAAAAGAATACATTTGCTTTTGGTGCATGTGGATATGTTACTTTTGGAAGGATACAAAAAAATTGGTAATAGTTGCTTCTAGAGAGAGGAACTGGGTGGGTAGATTTTAAGGAATGGAATAGAAGGCTTCTCTAGTCAAGAGAAATTAAAATTTCTCTACTGGTCAGCAGAAATTAAAATGTCAAGAGTTAAGCAAATTTATGTTACTAATAAAGGTCAGTTTCCAGAATTGTTTAAGTTAAAAAAAAATAAGCAAAATACAAAATAAGGGTAAAGTCTTCTAGTATTCTTTGAGGAAACCAAATAGATGAACTGTATTTGGAATGGATATAAGCACAAGCACTGTTAGTTTGCTTGTGGGGTAATGAGGGCTTGCTAGTGTCAAGGAAAACTTATTTAAAATTTTTTTAACAATATGCTATTTTGTGTAGTTTGAAAAAACTATCAACACAGAAACTATCGACACAATATTGTCTATTACCAACGAGCACACTGGAGGAGAGCGAAAGGACTAGGAATGAGTTTGTGCGTATGGCTGGGTAGATCATAGGTGGGTGGAGGGGTCTGCGGATGCATAGGTGGTTCTGCTTGTGGATGCTCATGTGGATGGCGATAGCAGATACCTGGCTGGCTTGGGGGGAGCTAGGGAGGACCAGGAAAGGTGGAGGTGGCCTTCTATTGTGGCGGAATAATGGGCTAGGATCATGTTGTTGAAATGTCTACATTCTTGGTGGGCGTGTAGACTAGTACAACCACTGTGGAAATCAGTGTGGAGAGTCCTCAAAAAACTAGGATTAGTGTTCCATTCAACCTAGCCGTACCCCTTCTGGGTATTTTCCCAGCAGAATTGAAAACATCACACAGCGATGTATGTGCACCCATGTTTATAGCAGCATAATTTGTAATGGCCAGATTTTGGAAACAACCCAACTGCCCATCAAATGAGGAATGAGTAAAAAAGATGTGGTATTTTTATACAATGGAATACTACTCAGCCAAAAAGAGGATAAACTCAAAGACTTTGATTGGTAAATGAACTTGCATGTGTAAACACCATATTGTCTGGCTAGTGTAAGAAACAGAGAGAGAAAATAAGATCCAAAAGTTACAGTAGATATAGTAAAAGGGAAAGAAACCACTCAAAGGGAAATTATATTGTCTGATCAATTTTGCAGGCCTGTATTTGGTAACCTGAGCAACTATTTTGAAGATAACAATATGCAACATAACAACATTGTTCAATTACTGTCATCTTGATTTGAAATCCTGTATCACTATTGCGGTTTTTTGTTTTGCTTTTGTTCTTGATGTTTTTTGTTTGTTTGCTTCTTAATTTCTCTTTAAAAACAATAGGCGTATACACATAAAAGAGCTGTCTCTCATGTGAATTGTGTTTCTTGTGTATGTAACTCTATATGCCCCAGCACGGTTTTCTTGCTAGGGGGGCAAATTCCTTTGGCATGAGACTTTTCTGGCAACTGCTCAGAAACTGTTGTGTATATAATAACCACCAACAGCTTAATCCCTTTTTCAGCTATCACCTCAAGACGTGTAAGTGGTGTGAAACCAATTAAAATGATCAATCTTTGATATAAATCACTCCTTTCCCTAATCACACGCTTATTAATGAGGCTTTCTTCCAAATACCCAAGTCCACAGAAGCCTGAGCTTTGTTGTCTTTTTTTGTGTGTGTGTTTCTGAGACAGAGGCTCACATGCAGTTCAGGCTGGCCTTGACCTCATTTTGTATGCCAGGCTGGTCTGAAACTTGCCGTGATCCTCCTGCCTCCGCCACCCAAGTACTAGGATTATAGGAGTGCACCACCACACCTGGCCCTGAGGTTTGTCTTTTAATTTTTAATAATTTTTTATGTTTCTTTGTGTGTCAAAATTTCCAAACTAAATCTCCTTTGACTGTTGGCCTTCTTGAGTTTATTTTTCATTAATCCTTTCATTAATCGTGGTTCTGGAAAAATAACTTTTTTTTTTCTTTTTGAGACAAGGTCTTGCTTTTTAGTCCAGGCTGATCTTAAATTCATGATGTATCCCAAACTGGCCTTGAACTGGTGTGATCCCTCTGCTTCAACTTCCTGCATTGACCTCCCGAGTACTGGGATTACACGCGTGTACCACCATGCCTGGCAAAAATAACTATTTGTATCATGGAATAGTTACATTTCCGAAGACTAATGTAGGTGCTTGCTTTATATCGAGGTATCTCTCTGTCCTGTCTGTCTCTCTCTTTCTATACTCCTTTATTTTTACATTTATAACCAGCTCAACAGTTTTTAAGTGAGGAGTTCTATGGCAGTATGTTCCTATTATGTCTAGCTAGATCTCTGTTTTGAAATTCTTGGCACACATATTTTGATCAGTTGTCAACTGTACTCTCTTTTTTGGTGGGGGGCTGGCGAGGGAACCCAGGGTCTCACACTTGCCCGCTAGTAAGTGGTCTTCCACTAAGCCCTCAGGTGTTTTCTGGAGGCGAAATGATCTGCTTGCTTCTCAAATTCTCTTCATCAGCGTTCTTTTGGACATGGCTCTAAAGTTTGTGTGGCATCTTCAGGTTCCACACGCCTCGCAGTTCCTTGGTGGCCTTGCTGTGAGCCTGAGATGCTGCTGGGATTGGAGCTGTTGGGAGGTTATGTAGTCAGTGGTGCCTGCGATGGGCTGGCAGGTGAGAGGCTCCACGCTGGAACCTTTTCCAAGGACTGCTCCTGCCCGCTCCTGCCGATGGGCGTGAAGTAAGGATATGGGCCCATGTTCTGATTTTTGCAAAGAAGCCCCAAGTCCAAAATTTTATGTGAAAAAAAGCTGATTATAAATGTTATCAATAATCTGAGTTTCTAAAGCATGCCCAAAACTATGACAGTGAACCATGAGTGGACTCAGTTGACCTTGGGCCAGGGGAGGGCGTCTTATTCTTCTCACTTTATCCAGTCTGATCACGATGGAGATTGGAAACCAAGACTCCACAGTGCAGTGTATAACTTTTCTCACAGTTATATACCCAGTCCATAGTCAGATCAGGCCTTAAAGCAAATTGAGATTTTCTGTTAAAGAATTTTGACAGCCATTGGAGGGTAATCCTTGGGCAGATATACTTGATCTAGCTACGTATGTGTGGATCTGGTTTATTGCCCTGCGTTTTTAGCAAAACACAAGCTTTTTATTTTACAATGTTTCTTTTCTTTGCTTTTCCCTTTCCCCCTTTTATTTTTTCTTTCTTCTTTCTTTCTTTTCTCCCTAGTACTGGGGATTGAGCCTGGGGGTGGTTTACCACTGAGCTACATCCCTAGGCCTTTTTATTTTGAGACATAGTCTTGCTAAACTGTCCTGGAAAGTCTCAAACTTGCAACCCTCCTGCCTCAGCCTCCCTCAATGCTGGGATTATTATCTTATTTTTTGGAAATAGGATCTCCTTATGTAGCCCAGGCTAGCTGTAAACTTAGTAGATAGCTTTAAATTTATAATCATTATTACCCTCCTGAGCTGAATAATGGTGAGATACAGGGATTTTTAATCCCATTGCTTGACTTTGGGTTTGTCTCCAGAGCATCACAGCTATGTGATCCTGGGTTCAATGTCTCTGTGGCTTTGTTTTTACATGTTTTGTTTTGTTTTTTTGAGACATTGTCTCATTATGTATCTCAGGCTGGCTTTGAACTCACTGGGTAGTCCAGGCCGGCCTTGAACTTGTCTTGTGGCAACCCTCCTGCCTCAGTCTCGCCAGTGTAGGGATTGTAGACATGAACCAGCATGCTTGGCCTTAGTTTTAGCATCTTAAAAAAGATGATAAAATACTTAACTCTTAAAATCAGAGGGCACAATAAGTGTGTTAAGCACTTGAGTCAGGTCTGGCCCCCAGAGCTGCTGATCGGTGCTAGCTGTGATGGTGGTGGTGGTGGTGGAGAAGGTGATGGAGAGAATCCGAAAGTATTCAGTTCACAGGATGGTAAAGTCAGAGTGACCCATCTGACCAAAGGGTTTTCTGTGTATACAAGAGCAGCCTTCCCGGTCCCTCTGAGCGGCACTGTCGTTGTACAGCAGTGGATGTGTTCTGCAGGGTGAGATGTGCCATCACTCTGCTCCCGTCCTCTGCTTCTTGGTCTTTCTGGCTCGTGTACCCCACAGGGTGTGGGGTGCAGAGCTCTGACCTGTTTTTAGCAGCCCCTTCAGCAGAGAGACAAGCCCCTCTTCCTGGTCACAGTGGGGCTGGCAGGGTCCCTAAGCTGCGCTGTCATGTGTCTGCAGGACTGGAATGTCACGTGGTACACCAGCAACCCTGACTTCACCAAGTGCTTTCAGAACACCGTCCTCGTGTGGATGCCTTGCTGCTACCTCTGGATCTGCTTCCCTTTCTACTTCTTCTATCTCTCCCGACATGACCGGGGCTACATTCAGATGACACACCTCAACAAAGCCAAAACTGTAAGTCACCCAGCACATCACTGGGCCGGGTGAGGGGTGGGGAGCCATGGGCCCTTGGTAAAACTGTTTTCCTTTCATGTATTTGCCCCTATTTTTTTAAATTTTATTTTTTAAGGCAGAAGAATAATGTGGTAGGTACAAGGTAGAGCTTTGCAGCCAAATGTAGGTTCATATCCCAACTCTGCCACTCTCTGGCTGTGTGACCTTTGAGACATTTTTTAACTTCACTGAGCCTTTGGTTTCCCCATGCGTGTGGTAAGAATGATAGCCTTGTTGTTTAGGAATCGTCAGGAAGTTACCAGGAGGTCTTCTACCTTACTAAAGCTATTTCCTTTTTATTTTCTGCTTTCAAATTTTTATTTTGAAATCATTTCAAACTCCATGAAAATGGCAAGCATGGGCCAGGGATTTAGCTCAGTGGTATAAGTGCTTGCCTGGCAAGTGCCAGGTCATGAGTTCAATCCCTGCTACCAAAAAAAAAAAAAAAAAATGGCAAACATAATACTAGAAGTAGTGCTGACTTCCTTTACCAGTGGTTGGTTGGTGGCATGTGTGATGCAGCAGGCGGTTTGTTAGCTATCACTGCCCTGTACCCATTGCTTGTGTTCACCAATTTTTTGGGTCAGTGGCCAGGCAGCACATCATGGAGGGGACACATGAGGACCAAACCATTCACTTCATGGTTGGAAAAGTGAAGGACACCAGGGTCTTACAGTCCTCTTTAAGGGGCCAGCCCGTGACCTAAAACCTCCCCCCTACCCCTGAGCCCACACAGGTCGCCCATCACCAACAGGAAACCTTCCTGTAACCCACGGTCCCTGGGTGGCTACGACGTGTCCTTGTGGGCTTGTCTCTTTGGATAAATGTGCCACTCGGGGGCAGGGGGGTGATAGTGAGGGGAGGCTGCATGTGAGCGTGCAGCGGGTAGGTGGGATCTCTCTGCATCTTTCTCTTAGTTTTTCTGTCTACCCCAAACTGCTTAAAAATAAAAGGCTTTAAAAAAACATCATCTATTTCCCTACCCTTTACTAGATGTTATGTCTTCCTTTCAGACCTCTAGATGTTCTTCATGTTTCTTAGGGAACATTTTCATTTTAAAACTATAATCGGATTTCATTGTTACTTACTCAGAAACCTTTCCTTGGGTCGCCCCTACCAGGAGTATGATCTGGAACTCCTCCTAATGGCGCAGCACATTTAGCTCCAACACCTATCATTCTCATTGCTCATGCCACAGCTGCAGAAAACCCTTTGGGCATGTTCCTCCCACAGGCCCTTTGCACTTTCTGGGTGCTTTGCTTAGGTTGTTTCTTTCTCCACATAAATCATTTTCTTTAATTCTTTACTCCGATGTTGCCTGATCAGAGAAGCTTTCCCAAACACTCTGCTGATTAACTGATTTCATTTTTTTCTGCATACTTTTTACTCTCTGGTATAGTAGTATGCATTTATCAGTTTATTTCTAGTTTTCTTCTACTAGACTATTGGCTCCATGAAGGCAGGGACTCGGTTTTGTGTTCTCCATTGTTTTCCCAAGCACAGGAGACCAAGGAGATGCGTAGTAGGCCCTCAGTGAACACTGGTTTGGTGAATGTTACTGAGTGATTGGCTGTGTGGGGGGCTTTACACAGTGGTAGGGGTTTCAGTCATGGATGAGCTCCAGCCCCAGCTCTTAAGTGTTAGATACAGGAGCAGCATTAGCCAGGTTTGGCAGGGGAGCTTGAGCTCTCTGCTCCTCTACTTGGAGTGACTTGTCCATATTCCTAGAGCTGGGAGTTTCTCTGAGACCATGGCTGATCATTGGGGGCTGGCTGGTGCTCTGGGGGTGAGCCTTTTTTGGGGTATGGGAAACAGTGCAGAGCTGTCCTCCATGAGATGTGTGTGTGCTCTTGCCTTGCAGGCCTTGGGATTCTTGCTGTGGATTGTCTGCTGGGCAGACCTCTTCTACTCTTTCTGGGAAAGAAGTCAGGGCAAGCTCCTTCCCCCAGTGTTGCTGGTCAGCCCCACTGTCTTGGGTATCACCATGGTAAGTAGGAGCTGGCTGCAGACCCTTGGCCACCTGCTGTGCCCTGCTGGGGACCAAAAGTAATAGCTGGTGGGAGGGGAAAGGGAAATGAAAAAGAATTAATGAGTAATGTACAAGTCCCATCTCCCCACCATGAATGTAAGCATGATGTACTGCAAACATGTACTAATAAAAATTTTAAATTAAAAATAGTATTAGCTGGAAAATAGGCACAAGGAGAACCCACGCTGCAAATTCAGAATCCAACTTCTCTTGAAAAATTCTGAGCCCTGGCATGGCTGGACACACAGTTGTCTCAGGGAAGGATCCCCTGGAATGAGATGCAGCTGCAACCTGGAGATGGGGTGCACACTGCCCAATTTACTGCAGTCCCCACCCTCCCCTGTTGCCTGCCGCCCCAAGGCTGAGAGGCAGATGCCTCTTTGCATTGTGTTTGCTGTCCTTCTCAGACTGGCTACCTCAGTCGTTTGTGCCAATTTCCCAGGACCTCATGGTCTCTGCTGTTTCTTGGCTGTGGTGTTGTAGGTGGGATATCAAGCTGCCCAGAAAGCCACTAATGACGTCATTATTACAGTTGAAGCTATTGAGGGCTTACTGTTCCTGGCTGGGTTTGTGATGTTTGACTTGCCTTGAAATTCATCTGATTCCCAGAACAAACCAATGTGACATAGGTACGCAGTTTCATAGGTGAGGAAATGAAGGCACAAATGCATTGCTCTAGGTCACACAGCTGATGCACAGTGGAGCAAGGCTAGGGTCCCAGCCCTTATAGTCAACCTTTTGATCTTTGCATTCTGCAGTAGCATTGACCATAGAGTAACTTGCTCTGAAGCAAGCACTATTTCCCTGCGTACCACAGGGACCCTGGGAAGCCTGGAGGGTTCTCAAGAGAAGGGCCCTTGAGCACTGGGAAAGGAGCAAGCTTGAAACCAGGCTGTTATGAGGAAGGTCGTTTGTCTGAGGGAGGACTGGAGCCTGAAAGGCAGTGTGGGGAGGGAGGGCAAGTTGCCTTGTGAAGCAGAGACAGAGTGGAAGTTGGGAGTGGAGTGGGCAGAAGGAGTGAAGGAAGGGGAGGACCACAGCCCTACAGCACATGTGTGCAAATGTCCTCTAAGCCAGGCCCCACTCTTATCCCATTATGCAGTAGCTCATTTATGTGTATTTGATCATTTTCCCCATGTTACAGATCGTGGGCAGAGGTAGAGGGAGTGGAGGAACGGGGCCAAGGTAACACTACCAGAAAGTGGTAAAGCCAGATTCCAAATATGGCTCAGGCATGTATTCTGCCATGCAGTCTTTGTGGGAGTCCTGTTGGGCCTGGCTTCTCTTTGGGACTGCGTAGCCTTGGCAAGCATTAGGAATATGAGAGGGGAGGCAGTCTCACATGTCCCATTGTACTGGCCTCCTTCCCTGTTCCCTGGGACACAATACCTGACACCCATGGCTTAAAGGAGAGGATTAGTTATGGTTCGGGGGATTCAGTTCATGGGTATCTGGCTCCAGGGCAGAAGCAGCACAGTGAAACGGCCTAGAGGGAGCAAAGCTTAGTGCCTGTTGGCCAGAAGAGGAATTAGGGGAACAGAATGAGAGAGGAAGGGGAAGGGACCAGGTATAGCCCCAAGGCCATGCCACAGCAACCCACCCACACGTACTTAGAAATATGATTTAGTAATCTTCTACACAGATCCCAAAGATAGGTTCACAACCCAGCTTAACTTTCACACTTACTATGTTCCAGAAGTTGGCAATAAAAGCATGTAGCAGGGGAAGCAGACACAGAGCAAACAGTCCTCCCCACCCCCAGCACAAAATGTATACACATGTGTAAAGGGCTTAGAGGATAGTCAGGACTTGGCTTGGTCTGAGATAGGGAGATGTCTGTCAGGAAGGACAGTGGAGCAGAGGCCCAAAGGATAAGCAGGAGGAAGGAACTGAGAGCCAAGGTTCTTTCCGTGGAGAACAGCTCGAACAGAAGTCCTGGGGCAAGGGGGAGGAATTGAGAGTCCACCTGTGTGGCTGGAGCAGACATGCAGAGGAATTGGGGGGGGGGCAGCAGGGAAGGTAGAGGCTGTGTCTACAGAACTTAGAGCATTGGGGCTGATGGGTTCTTTTCCTTCCCTATTTCTAAAGCTGGGTCCTAAACAGTTTTTATTCCATCTGGACCCTTTTCAGCCTTTGCCAGTCTCCTTAGAGTACATAGGATATTAAAGGAAACCGATCACTTTTATACACACACAAAGATGATATGGCATACATATATATTTATACTCAAAGTTTAATTTGCATTCAGTGAAATTTTCTCTTGAACCATTTTGTGACATCTGAAGTATGTATTTGTAACTTCTTCCTGCACGGTCAGCCTGGAGAGCTGTTCATCACTCCCTGCCCCCCCAGTTCCCTCCTACTACCTTTTAGGGTCCATCCCTCCCTGGCTCCTATCTTCACTGCTTAGGCTAGGTGTGTCTTGTCCTGTGGCTCTGCATCTCCAGAGCGTCATGGGACTGAGACTAGCAGCTGCAGCTCTTGCTTTGTGGCTTTGAGGTCTTACCATTGTATGTATCAAAAGATACTTTTTTTAGACCAGGAGTGAGGTTCCACCCCTGGAATCCTAGCACTCCAGGATGAGGATGGGCCAGGAGAATCATAAGTTTGAGCTCAGCTTGGGCAATTAAGTAAAACCCTGAGCATTTGATTGAGTGGCTATACTATGTGTTATTTATCCATTCCTCAGTTGCAGGACATTTGAGCTAAGAAATGAATCAGAGTTAAACACAGTTGTCAAGAGATTAAAAAGCAAATATGATCAAAATATGTGCTTCTCTGTTAATACATTTCAAATCCAGCTGTAACTGCAGGTGGGATGACACCTCAATTTCCAAGTAGTAGTGTCTGTATATTGTAGTTGAATGCATCCTTGGCTACTCCTGTAGAATGTGGAGATACCTAGTTTGGGCTGGTGACAAGGTCAGGTGTGCTGTACAGTTGTGGATGCTTCTTCCTTCTGCCTTGGTGGTGCTGATCAGCAAATGGAAAGATGCCTTTGTTTCTGTTCAAGGTCATGGAGCCATGGCTTCCAGCAATAGTCCATCCTTGCCCCCCAGGTTAAACCACTGGTTCTAAAGGGAAAGGTTTGGAGCAAAGATGGGACATCCTGGTTTGCATATATAAATAAAAGCTGTGACCTCTGAGTGGAGAATGGGTGGTCAGAACAGGAGTACAAGCTGATGGTGTTCTTGTCAGGAGAGGGGATGATTCAGGGTCCAGGTGGAACCAGGGATGACAGAAAGACCCCTGTGTTTCTGGGCCAAGCGTTTGTGGAAAGAGAGGGGCCCAGGGTGTCGCACCACTCCTGAGTCTGGCTTGTGACTTATTGGGACTTTGCCTTTTGAAGGCAGCTCTCTGCCTCTGTGGAGAGCAGCCATGGTGTTGTCTTCTTGCAAGGAGAAGCACTGTTTATTTCATATCCCTGATTGTGAAGTCATTCATGAAGCAGAAGCAGTTTTCCCTAGGAATGAAATAAAATCCTCCATGAATTCCCTCCACCATCATCTTACGAACAGACTTCCTTGTAGATGAGGTGTGTGACTGTAGGCCGGAGGTATTCTCTATTTGGGCCTTAGTACTCATGTCTGCCACGTGAGGCTGTGTGTGGCAGAGCACTTAAAGTACCTTGTACAGGACCAGTATGGTGAGTGCCCAGTGGGTATAACCAGTAACTTCAAAGGCTAAGATTTGAACGTACATCTTTAAGGCTCAGATCAAGGGTTGGTTGATGGCCCACTGCTTTTTTATTGACATAGACAATTAGATCCATTTATTTACATATCATCTGTGGCTCTTTTCATGGTACAGCGACAAAGCTGAATAGCTGTGAAGGAGACTGCAGCCCATGAAACCTAAACCTGTATTATATGGTCCCATAAGAAAAAGTCTTCTGATTTCAGTTCTAACCTGAGCTTTCCCTCAGGTCTCTATTAAGGTCTTACTAAATCCTCACAACCAAGCAGAGTGCTTGTCTGCATTTTGCAGCTGAGGTATTGGGGACCCTGAGAGATTCTGTGACTCGCTCTGTGGTACCTCTGTGGCAGTTGTTGTGCTCTTGATGGATGACAGTCTTTAGCCCTGGCTGACATCTGCCATACCCTGGGGGTTCAGGAGTTCACCTTCTCTAATTGCGCCTGTTTTGTGCTTTTCTTTTACAGCTGCTCGCCACCTTTTTGATTCAGCTTGAGAGAAGGAAGGGTGTTCAGTCCTCGGGGATCATGCTCACTTTTTGGCTTATAGCCGTCCTGTGTGCCCTTGCCATCTTCAGATCCAGAATCATGACTGCCTTAAAAGAGGTAAGTGGTGGCCTCCTCTAGCATCTTCCTTCAGTGCCCCGTGGAGGAGATGCTTGTTTCTTCTTGTGTAGAAGTTAAGTGTTACATGGAAACCATGGGATGGGAACCATATCTTCCCTGGGGTCCTTCCTACTCCTTCAAATCCTCACCAAGTCAGCTGCAGCCTTTGATCTGGAACCTCCTTGTCTTCATCTCCACCTGATTGTGTAGCTCTGAAGGGCACCTGTAGATCCCTCAAGAGCAAGAGCCAGGCCTCTGTCCACAGTACTGCCAGGGAAGTCAGCTCCGTGTGTCTTCAGTCTGTGATGGTGTTGTACTGGGAGTGATATTTGCAGTGGCTGTTTTCCCAGAGGACCTGAATGTGTCCCCATGTTACCTCTGTGCCATCAGCCGCTCCTTTGGCTGGAGAAGTTGTTTACATTGGCTGCCGTGTACTGCTCCAGGAATTTTGAGGAGTATGCACTTTTTGGTTAGTAGGATGCACTAACCTGCTGTTCCAGCTATCTTGGAGCTAGCCAGGGACTGGCATGAGGCAAAAGAAGGAACACTTATGGAGCACCCAGGGTATGCAGAAATGTTTCTCCTTGACATTGATGGCAGCTGACATCAATTGACTTCTTGCTTTCTCATTGCTGCCTGGGAATGAGTTTTTCTGTGACTAATCTTGTGACTTCTCACAATGACTGACAGGGCTTTTTAGCATCAGGTAATTACATTTTGGACTGGAGATGACTTTGTTACAGGTTGCTGTCCTGGGCTTCGTGGGATGTTTAGAAGCATCCCTGCCTCCTCCCCTTGGGTACTAGCAGTATCTCTCCACTCAGTGTTCCTGGGCACTGGGAAATACATTCCCTGTGGAGCAAACTCTCCCTTAGTTGTATGTAGGTGGGGAAACCAAGGCTCAGAGAGGATAAGTTTGTGAACAGGGTCCCACAGCCTGTATGAGCAGAGCCAGGCCTTGGATATAGCTCAGTTTTCTTCCTGTTTCCCTACATAGGCAGTAGTGAGCAGTGTGGCTACTGGCCATGGAGCTGCCTTTTTTTCTGTTCTGTCACAAAATAGGTGGCCAGAAGCCTGTGACTAGACCTTATGCATGTGAAGTTAAGTGTTGCCATGGAAATCATGGGATGGGTGCCACATCTTCTGTGGGCCATCCTTACTCCATCAAATCCTCACCAAGTCAGCTGCAGCCTTTGTTCTGGAACCTTTTTCCCCTCATCTCCAGTTGATTGCGTAGCTCTGAATGGCACATGTAGCTCCCTCAAGAGCAAAAGCCAGGGGCAAACAGTGTTACACTGTGAGCCAGCCTCTTTATGCAGAGGAAGCAGGCCAGCTGTGCTTGCTCTCCTGGCTTTTCTTTGTCAGTTTCCTGTTGCCATCATTGAATAGTACAGACTGGATAATTTATAAACGTCGTGGCTTGGGAGCTAGGAGTTCCAAGCTCAGAGGGCTCCATCTGTGAAGTCTTTTGGATGAGAGCTCTGTGCAGAGCCCAGGGTAGCTTAGGACATCCTCTGGTGACAGCAAACATGCTAACTCTTGTCCTCTTTTTTATTTTTATTTTTTTTGTATTTTTACCGGTACCAGGGATTGAACTCATGACCACACGCTTGCAAGGCAGCCGCTTATGCCGCTGAACTAAATCCCCAGCCCCTCTTTTTTCTTTTTTTAATGGACCTGAGGATTGTACCCATGGACTTCACACTGAACTCCACCTCCAGCCATTTAAAAAAAAATTTTTTTTTTTTTTCTGAAACAGAATCTCATTAAGTTGCTCAGGCCTGGCTCAAACTTGAGGTCTTTCTGATTCAGTCTTCCAAAGTGCTGGAATTCCAAGCATGAGCCACTGTGCATGACTTCTATTTCTCTTATAAGGCTGTTAATGAGGGTCCTGCCTCCAAATGCCCTTACATATAACTGTGGGGATTCAGTTTCTTCATGATTTTTAGAAGAGACAAACACATTGGCATGGCAGCTGCTTCTGGAAAGTGATCTTTTCTTCTCCTTTTTCTCCATTCAGGCCACCAAAGACAACCTGTTTCGCGATATCACTTTCTACTTGTACTTTTTCCTTGTGCTGATTCAACTTGTGTTGGCCTGTTTCTCTGACCGTTTGCCTCTGTTCTCTGAAACCATCAATGACCCCGTAAGTATGACCACAGACTTGTGTGCATGCATTCAAGAGAGAAATATACACTAGCCAACTGTTGCTGGGTGCTGGTTCTGAGCCTGTGTTAGTACCTCAAGTGCTGGGAGATGAATTATGTCACCCTTTGTGCTTTACAGACATGAAAACCGAGGTTTAGTTGTGTCTAGGAAGGCTAAGGACGGGATTGGCCTGGTAGTTGTAGGTGGCTGTGTCTTAGTGGTTTTAGAAAATGCAAGCAAATGTTAACAAACCAGTAAATTTCATATATATTTGATCTTCCAAGGATTCTTGCAAAATGAGAAGTTTTGGTAGATTTACACTAGAATCCCACAGACAGCAGTTGGCAGGAACTGGAGCTCCCCAGAGTCCCTCTGACTCCCTTTGGTTCTGCGCCATCTGCTACCCTCAGTTATGACACACATCTGCCCCTGAGGGATTCAAGTGTGAGACCTTTATTATCTGTTATCAGTTTCAGTGACATTCTGTGATAGCTGGAGCAAGGAGGTGAGGACCACTCTTCCTGCTGGGAGAATATAAAGGTGCATAGTCGTTTATCTCCCTGGAGTCCCTCCCTCCTCCTTCCATCATTCTGCCTTTCTGTCTTCCTCTCCTCCCTCCTCTTCCTTCTTCTCCCCATCCTGGATCTGGGCATGGCTAGAGCAGTGAATAAGCATAGTTCTCGCCCACTTGAGGCACATGTTTTCAGGGGTAAGAAGCAAACATTAACTCAGGACCCCAGTGTAAGTTAGACGGTGGTAAACACTGAGACAGAAGAAAGCAGGGGAGGCTTTAGAGGATGCTAACTGGGGTCTTGAGCACTGCTTGATCAGAACTGTCAGGCAAGGCCTCCCAAAGAATGCACATGTAGACATAAATCTCTGGAGGGAGAGGCAGGCCAGGCAGATGCGCAGAGGACAAGTGATCCAGACAGACAAGCAGAGCTGTTGCAAGTGAGCGCAAGGGCCCGTGGGTGGAGCTCTCTGGGAGTGTGTGGCGAATTGTGGCACATCCAGTGTGACTCCAGCAGCAAGAGGCAGGAGAGACCCAAGAGGCAAACTGGCTGCTGAAGGCCCCCTGAACCCTTTAGATGTTTCTGGAATGAGATGGGAAGCCTTTGGGGTACCATGAATGTGTGTTGCTGGTCAGTCATTTGTGAATGGGCGGATTGCAGTGGGAGCAGTTTTCAACTGGACCTCCGCAAAGGGCTGAGGCTTGCAGTGTGATCAGAGGCTTGGGGGCCGTTGGCATGGAGGAGGAAGTTGACATAGCTGAGAGATTATAGAAAGCTGTGCCTCCGTGTGTTCTAGGAGGCCCAGTTCCTGAATGTTTCTGATCAGACAGGAACAAAACTGGAGTCTTAACCAAGTGTGTGTTTATTAATTCATGTATCCTTGATATTTCTGTGTGTTTACATGTGTATTTTTGTACATTTGCATGTATGTCTGTTCCCACATGTGTGTGTTTCTGTGTTCATGTCTACAGCTGCTCATGAGTGCATGTATGGATCTGTGTCTGGGCGTATGTATAAAGTTCAAAAATGTGGTGACTGTGTCTGAGGTCCCTTGCTGAACTCTTGTCCATGCCTAGCATAGAACAATACTGGGTATATTGTTTATCTGTTTGTGGGTGGGAGGTAGCCAAGTGTTTGTTGCATGAAACACTACCTTGGTGCTGAGCTTTTCTGCAGAGCAGGGATTACATCAAACAAGTCAAGACCTCCTGATTGGTTGCAGCCCCTGGGTTGCTCTGGGAGTAAACCAAATCTAAGTAGCGCTGACAGATTGGGAATTACCTGATCCTTTACATTTCCTGGAAGCTTTAAGTGGGAAGGACTTCTCCTTGTGGGGATTCTACATAAGAATGTATTCTGCAGCCAGGTCTGATAGCACAAGCATATGGTCCCAGCACTCTGGGAGGCCAAGGAAGGAGGATCACAAGTTTGAGCCTAGCATGGTCAGTTTAGTAATTTAGTGAAATCCTATCTCAAAATAAAAAATAAAAAATGGCCTAGGAATGTATCTCAGTGTAAAGACCCAGGGTTCAATCCTCTATACGGCCCTCTTACCTCAATTTCCTTCTTCTATCTTGGGAATGCGTTTATTAGGCCGACTTGATCCTCTCTTCCTGTTTTCTGTGTTCTTTGGAGGCTGGGCCATGGAGGCTAAGAGTCCATGTTAGCCTCTTCTAGTCATTGTGTCTCCATGTCTGTCTCACTTCCATGCCCTCCCTCGTGTCACTCCCAGTCTTCCCAGTGGCCAGAAAGCATTAGTTTGCTTCTCATGAGGTGGAATCCAGCAGTGTGCATGGCAGATACGGGTATGTGTGGGCTGGTCCACTTTTGCTCCTGTGCATGGGCTACAAAAGTCATCCTTAGTCCCTCTGGCAAGCCCATCTCCTTTGAGTTTCAGCCCCAAAATTCAGCAGGTTGCCATTTGTCTGTGTGCGATTTGGGCTTCTGCTAAAGAATGTCCCAGAGACCAATTCTCACCTGCTGACTCTTTGTAAACAAAATTTTACTGGATCACTACCGTGCTCTTGTTCATTACATGTTGCCTGTGGCCACCTGGCACCACAGGGGCAGAGCTGAGTAGTTGCTGCAGACTGAATCTCCTACAAAGCCTGCAGTATTTACTAATCAAACATTACTGATCTTGACCTGATGGCTTTCACCTTCCACTTCTGTCTGCTTTCCTTTTTCAGGGCCTTTTTTCCCTATGACAGGAGGACTAGGAGTGTTTACTTATCCCTGCTGTATACCAGGCACTGTACTGAGCCTTCATATCTGTGTCTCATTTAAGCCTTGTACCAGCTACCATGATCTTGATCCTGCGTTTTCCATTTTACAGGCAGAGAAACTGAGTCAGGGAACAAAATGCCTTGCTCAGTGTCAGTGGTGGAGTGGGAATTGAAACTCAGGCTTGATGTTTTACAGACTCCTGTCCCTACTTGAGGGAAGGGTGTTGGCTGATTAAGTAGCTCTGTGTTGAGCTGTAAGCTCTGTAAGGCAGAACCCTGCCTGGGATCTCAGGGCCCAGGGCAGGGCCCCTGTGCACATGGGCCCTTAGGGTAATGTATTGCTGCTGCGTGATGGGGAAATGCTTGCTATAGATGGCTCACTGAAGTGCAAAGTCTGCTTGGGATCTCCCAGGATATCAGATGAGGCTTCTCTGTCTGCCTTCTCATATTACCAGGCCACAGAGAAAGGACCAACAATGTGTAGTGACCTGTTGAGGGCCTAATGTGTGGTATTAAGAGTTTTTTCTCTTTAAAACAATTTTTTAAATTTATTGTGATAAAGTGTAGGAGATTTGCCATCTTAAGCACTTAAAATGTACATTCAGAGCTTTCTGTTTCTTTCAGAGCCCTGCTGCTCTTTGTGGGGACTGTGACCAGTAGCACTGATCTCAGCTGGAGTGCATTAGACATGCAGAGCCTCTCAGATTCCCCTCCCTCCCCACCAGAACCAGTGCTTGTATAGTGTCCTCAGGGCATTCTTGCGCACAGAAAAATTAAGAAGCATTGGTTCAAACCTCACAGTAGCCTAGTACTACTGAGCTTAGTACTACTGAGCTGCATCCCTAGCCTGAAAGGGTGTGTGTGTGTGTGTATTAAGATGTAAAAGAACTATGGCTCAGAGACTGAGCTGGTGAATCCCAGTTTATCCTCTGAATCTGATGGTGCAGGTAGTGTGGTGTGGTGGAAGAGACCCAGATTGGAGTTGGGCTGACTTCAGAGCTCGTTCCACCTTGGTTCATTTATCTCTTCAGTAGACATTTGCTCAGCTTTTGGTGCATAGTGTTTTGGGTGCTAAGGGCACAACAGTGTGTAAAACAGACCTGGTTTGAACTTTGGAGAGAGAACACTATTCCTTTGTTCTCTCAAGGTCAGTGTCTGGGGGCCTATGAATCAAACCTAAAGAAGATAAATGGGAGGAAATGTTTATTATATACACACACGGGGGTGGGCCTCACAGAAAATGAATACTTCCAGAAGTGATTACACCTGAGAGCTTGTGTACCAGTGATGGCAAACCTTTTAGAGCATTCAATGATAACAAATAGCCAACTGTGGCACGCATGCTATAGGTTTGCCACCACCGTTGTATACTATTTTAACAAAAAATGGTAAATTTTCAGAGAAACAAGACCAAGGAAAAGGGGCGTGAACTTCCTGGGGTGGCATTTGTGAGAAAGTACATATTTTTACTTTCACTGCAAGCTAAGGATTATTTTAACAAGAGTGGTTTGTATGGATTCATCTCAAGGCTGCCATGATAATACTGTTCTATTGATGTGGAAGGGAGGCAGAAAGCCTTGCAGGAAATTGACTCTGTGTGCTGCTCATAGGCAGGTGGGGGAAGGACAAGGAACTTGCTGCATTGTTGCTGCTAATTACCTTCAGCTCAAAAACATTTTTGTGCGAAAGTGGCATATTTTGGAGTGGCTTATTCTGAGGGGATCTGAATCTATGACTCAATACATTTGGCCCTTTGTATTTGAGATTTTTCTGTTCATGGATTCAATCAGCTATTTAGGGCAAAAATTTATACTGAACATGTGTGGACTTTTTCTTGTCATTCTTCCCTAAACACTGAACAACTATTTGCCCAACAGTTACATTTATTAGGTATCATATGTCATGATGAAGTTTATGATTGAAAGTGTAGGAAAGACGTAGTAGGTTACATACAAATACTGTACCCCTTTATAACAAGGACTTGAACATCTCGCACTTTGGTTTCTAACAGGGGTCCTAGAATGGATGGATTTTAAGGGACAGTTGTATAATCCTGGCTTTCTCCAAATTAGACAGAAATTGATGGTGATATTTTCATGGTCCTGTGTCTTTACTGTACGCAGTACTATTGTTCCCCCGCACCATCCCAATCAGATGCTTCCTCTGGTGTCTGGGGCTAACAACTGGGCACTGATGGGAGTCTTACCTCCTGCTGACCCCTACCAGTAGTCTCTGAATGGCCTGGGCTTCTGCACAGTGTG